ATGCTTTTTATGTCAAAGAGTGTTTCCTTACGTGATGTCGAGCAGGTCTCCCCATCTCTCTAACTTTGGTTTTTTTTCATCAGTCAAACTCTTTTACTGATTAGTGTGAGGATCAAATAGGATAATCTGTATTAAAAATGTAACTTTAAAGTACTTACTCAAATACAAAACATTAAATATTGTGCACAGCGTGGGGTGCAAATTATGTGCTTTCATTCTGGTGTCGGTTTACCGGGGTCCCAGGTCTGGCTTTGCCCCTTTCTGCCCATGTGGCGGCTTAAACTTTCCGTGTCTCAGATTTCTTATCCATAAAATGAGAGAAATAATAATGCCTATTTCATAAGTTGATGTGAAAATCAAAGGCGCTAGTGTATGTAACGGGCTTAAAGCCGTGCCAGGCATGAAGAACAGGACTCAGACTAGGTGTATTTTTATGTGCGTGTCAGTCCAACACTGAACGCTGACTTATTTACATGGGAGTAAATTACTTGGAAATTAAAAAAAAGCCTCTATTTATACTTCAAGCAATATAGTTCTTTGTTAATCTAACAAATTCACATTTGATTATAAGCCATTAGTAACAGTTAAATCAATAGGACTACCTTTGAATTAAGCAGTTAGGAGCGAACATCTCTCAGAAGCTTACCTCTCTTGATATTTAAATATAGAGATTCCAATGTCATTAATACTGACTTACTCAGATAAGGTTTATGGTGTATTGGTCTTGTTCATTGTGTTTGTACCTTAAATAAAAGGCTTCCACCATGACTACACATGAGAAGCAACCGGGTCCCCCAGGCCAGTTGAGTTGGAAAATCTGAAGATAAAACTCAGGCATCGGGAATTTTTACAAAGCTCCCCAGGTGAATTTGATTAGAGCATTAATAATTAAATACTATATATATCATTTAGTTTCTGACCTTGATGGGTAATTTCTTCATATTTAAAGAAATAAAATGATAAGGCTATTTATGTTTTTTCTTTTAAAGACAGACTATTTTGCAGTTTTTGGCTGGGGCTGGGTTTGAACCCGCCACCTCCGGCATAGGGGGCCAGCGCCCTACTCCTCTGAGCCACACGCGGCGCCCTAGAAGACAGACTTTTTTCCCATTGAATCTCTATCTCATGCATATGTGCACTAAGCAGAAATGAGAAGTTTGTTTTTAAACTATTGGCGGTTTTATTTTTATTTTTTTTCGGCATGAAGTGCTGTGTATTAACTAAGGACACAGATTCACAGAATGTGGAAGGGACCCTCGAAGGGTCAGCGGAAGGAGGACCCACTTTGGAGCGAGCCCCGCCTTGCAGCGTCTCACTCACTCCCCAGCTGTGTGATCTTGTGGGACTTACTCAACCTCCCTGCGCCTCAGCGTCTTCATCTTTGTAAAATAAAGATGCACGTCTTTTGTGTGATGACAACTGTGTTTCATGCTGCGGCACACTCACATCTTGACTCTGCCTCCCGCCTGAGCCCCGCACCATCTGGCGCGGATATCCAGAGCAGGGACTGTGTGGGAGCCTCAGCAGGACCGTCTGAGCCCGCAGCTGCTGGGAACTGCTTCTTCCCACTCTGCAGCGATCCCTCCTCCGGCTCTGCTGGGACTGTGTCAGGGCTGGCTTTTTGGGTCCCACAACCTTTCTTGAGCATAACGTTGAGTCTGTGGGGATCAGGCAGTGCTAGCCAAGTGGGGCAAAGATGTTAGAGACTGGCCATGAAAACGGCTGCTTGTTGACGGATGATGGAAGCTTTAGGGCACCCTCTCATTGAGCCCCATAAAACACGTGTGCATCCATCGCTTCTTTGTGCTGAGTTGGGATAATAGGAGGCCACTATTATTATGTGTGATCCCAGGAAGCGTCCATTAATTTGAATATATGTGATTCTTTAATTTGATGTTAACATTAAAAAACTGCTTTCCTACTGCAATTTATATCTTAATTTGGAGAAACCAGAGAAAACTCACAGACCTGTTTTCATTTTATGCTAGGAACAGTGAAGTCTTTCCTTTCTACTCTTGTCTTTTAGAGCCTCAAGGGTAGGGCTTTGCGGCCGCCCTGGGGTTGCACGTTCTTTGTTTCCAGGGAAGGAGGTTGGTGGGTTGTTTCTTGGTGGCAGTGCAGTGTGACACTGGGGGCCTAGATCTTAGAAACCGAGTGTCAACATCTTTCCCATTTGCAGGCCTGGCTTCAGATCTGTCCTCAGTCTGAATTTTGAGAATTCTGCTTTTGTCCCCATTTCTCTGGACTGATTTTAATGTTTCATTGGAAATATTTGGAAGTTCATCTGCCGTCTTCCTAATCCTTCTTCTGTCTACTGGAATTGGCAGCAATCACTCATCAGTAGGAGTGTCGGTAGCTTCACTGATTGATTTTTATTTCTGTTCCTTCAGGTATGAGGATGTTGAGACGTAACACTTAGGGAATGGGTTTTCTAACCTCAACCGACTCTCTTCCACTAGATCATCAGATCCTTGGGGTAGGAGCCGGGTTTTCAGCCTGGTTTGGCTGTGACTGTAGTTGTGCACCTACTCTGACCAGAGACTGTGCTTCAATTATCTCAACTCATTTCTATATAAATGAAGTGCACATAAAGAACCTTATCTGGAGAGCTTAAGTAGATTGCCCAAGGTCATCTAGCGAGTGGGTCCTGGAGCTTGACTTTGAACTCAATGTGACCTTAACCTCTTTTTAAATCATGTTTCTGATCATCTTCTTAAAGGAAAGGACAGATATACAAAGAAGAATGGGATCTTGCGTGTAGAGGGTTTGATGGTCCTCTTCAGTAGGGATGGTTAGGGAGCCGTATTTTTAAAGAAGAAGATAAAGTCAGTGCGTCTTCAAAGCCACTGTCCTGTCACCACTGATTTACACTAACTTGTGTCGCTGGCATACGTGGGCACGTGGAAAGGTTTGACAAAGAGATAGCTCTTGCCACCCTCAAGGCAAAAGTCACCCAGTGGAAGGTGTTGGCCCATTTGTAGGTCTTCACGTCATGCTTTTTATTTAGTTCAGGGAGACTGAGCTTGTGTGAAAACACTTCTCACTGATAAGGCCATGGGTTGAGGCCATCAGGCGAACTCTGAAGACCTGAGTGGATCCACGACCAGGTGACATTTGGTGCTGCAATCTGCCGTGGCTTGCTGAAGATCAGGAGCTAGTCTGTTGCCAGTCTCTACACTTGGGGTTTAGGCCATTAGAACGTACCCACTGGCTTTGGCAAGCAAGACGATGTGTCTAAATACTTTACCAATTCGAAGGTTTGTTGGATGTGTCCAGAGAACATTTTCTTTTAATGTACTTGGAAACCATAAATCTAACTCCTGCTAGGAGTGGAAGTAATTGCCTCATACAAGAAAAAAGTCAGTTCTTTTAAAGGCTTAGCTCCTTTCACAAACGTGCTTTTTAATGACTGGTACAAGAAAAACATGTTCTTTTGTACAAATGAGGTCATTCTGGACTTCCCTGGCCCTGTGCACTGCAGTTCCTGCTTTCTGTTGCATGTTTTGTGACCAGAGGTTACTGGAAGGATAATCCCTAAGTGGATATTCACTGCATGGCGAGCCTGAGCCAAAGGGAAAGTTATCTGAGCTCAGAAACTGCAAAGCTCGGCGAGAGCCCCGATCCCAGGGGTACCGAGCTGGTGACTGAGTGGTTTGGTTTAGATTGCTGCGGGTCGGGTTGTGGAAGCACGCTTTTTATAAGTACTAGGACTGCTGGTTCTGCTTCATTTTCTTTAGAGTTCTCAACCGCTCCACTGCTTACTGGTTCGGGAATGGTTTTTCTTTCCTAGGTGTGTCCCATTTTCTCTGGTTTTATCTGGGGGAATAGACACATTGGTGCCGTTTTGAGGTCTTGTTCATCTTTTTACCCCAATATAAATGAAAAAAGCTGCTGAGAGAAGTTTCCCTGTATCTCTTTGAAACACTGGGAGGCTGATCCTCCTAAAATTAATTTGTGAATTGGATTCCCTGTAAAGTGTAGGTCTGAGGCTGTGCTGGGAATGAGTTCTCTTACATGGTAGTGTGGGGTAGATCTCGGCGTGTGTCCCTGATTTAATTTAAGATCCCTTTCCTCTAGCTTTAAGGTAAGCATTTCCCACCGAGGAGGATGTTAAAGGTTTAAGACTGTTGCTAGGCAGAGTGGCACATCTGTCCTGGGTATCTTTTGTAAAGAAGTGACTATGGAGTAGGTGAAAATGAACCTTGATGTAGACCTCTCAGGTCTCCTTTAAATGACTTGTTTTTAAGAGAAGCACTTTGAAGCGTTAGGATTTGGAAAGTGATATTTGTTAACAGCTTCTTAGGTGTTAGCACCGTGCTGGAGGTTTTCTGCAGATGGTTTTTTAGGGGTTTGTGAGTCTGGTCAGCAGCAGCCCCGAGGTTACCACGCTGCCGTCCACCTCGTCCACTTGGACTTGTAACGCTGTCACTATGCTCTCCTGAAATTGGACCTGGGCTATAATAGATCCATGTTTTGATAAACATTTACTTACTTTTTTCCTCTTTGATTGTCTCCAGGCTTTTATTATTTAAAATATTCCTCTCTTTGCCATGGAGAGTTTGGTTCTTCTCCAGACTTCCTAATAAAATTTATGTTCTGAGATCTTGGTGTCCTGTTCATGGCTCTCTGAGACCAACACTCCAAGTTCAGGCTCTGCTGCCTAACTAGGTCCAAGAGTAATTTCTTGGTCTAGGATTAAGAAACTTTGTCTTGAACCATCATGAGGAAGAGAAGATTAAGAAATTCCGTTATGACCTGCTTGGGTATTTGCTGCAGACCACTTTTTTTTTTTTTTTTATTTGTCTAAAGCATTTGTGGCCAAACTAGGAGGCTCCACAAAGAACCCTTGCTTGAAAATGTCTTGAATCATTCAGAAAAGCAGGCTGACTCCTAGGGGAAGTCATGGCCATGGGCCTGGACTGCCTCTTTTCCATCCTATTCTAACCTTCCTATTAGTGCCCTCAGGCATAGAACCCAGGGAAAAGAAAGAAAGATCGTCTAAGTCTAAAAATATCTCTTATTATAATGGTGGCAGATTTAACTAAATTTATTGTTGCTTGCTAAACCATCCTTTAAAGCCTTGTTACGAACATCAAGGAAAATAATTAGACATGCCATTTAATTTCTGTTGGCCGTGATCTTGTTGAGATCACACGCAGTAGGAAGGAAGAACAGTGACCCACGTCTGAGCTGTGTGCGCCTCCCCACCACCCCCAAGGGCGAGGCTTGTGGTAGGCAGGCAATGACTACTTGATGGAACCTACTAGCTGGTACAAAAGAATTGAAAAAAAAATATGGCTAGGAAATACTATCACGCTTGAATTGGGAAATTCTGGGTAATTGCTGAGTGCCTCGGACTAGTTCCTGTGGGGATAATACGTGGCAGAATGCAAAATGGGTTAATATTGTAAAATGGAAACTCTCAGGAGATAATCAGAAGCTACCTATCTGCCTACAATGCTCAGCTGGGAATGGCGCTGATCTGCTGATAATGTATTTTTATTATTATTATCATTCTGTAGCCTCAGACGATACAGCAAACTCTCAAGAGGACGTTGCAGTATTATGAACATCAAGTTATTGGGTAAGTAAAAATGGATTTTGGTTATTGGTGGGGGCAAATTAAAGATAATTACTCAAACACAGCCAACCTTATTTCATATCGGCTGTGTTCTCGTAGTGTGAGGAAGGGGCTGATGGGTCCTTTAGAGTAATTTCCTTTGGCTTCTATGTTTAATTTTTTTTAATTTAATTCCTTTATGGCATTGCTTTTCCTCTTTTTCCCTCCTGTGGTTTAGCTTTCCCATTCTGATGCCAGGTCTCATAATTTTGCCTTACTAATATGATAGGGTTTATTGGTACCAACGCAGAGGCTTTCAATGGGATTTTGGAATCCTTAAGTTGGCTTTAACCAAAATCAGGACAAGCTTAACACAGTTCAGTGAGAGGTATGGGTTTAGCTAAAGTCATAGGCTACATATTTTTCTTTCTTATTCCATATTTCTTGCAGTAGATGTGATATGGTGTTAATGTAACAAGACTTTGAGTCAAAAGATGGGAGTTCAAGCCTTCACTAGTACAGGGAACACACTGTTAATAAGTTACTTTATCTCTTTTGTAAAATGTGATGGTGGTAATAATAACTCAGTCAGGATTAGATAACATGATTAAATGAGATAATGTCAATGGAAGTATTTTGTAAACAGAAAACCCCAAATGAATATACACCTTTAATTATCTACTGCAGAAAGCAGTTGGAGAATTCAAAAGCCTATACATTTACTTCCTTATTCAATGTTGCTTTTTAAATTAAGTTTTCTGACATAAGGGACAATGTATATTACAAATTTACTTTTCTTATAGTCACTATATACTACAATGATTTAACTTTGTAAGATTTTCAGAACTTCTGAGGAGTTGAAATGAAATCCTGGGACTTCTTAAATGCTAATGAGCGTTGCCCCTGGAATCTAGAGCGTGTCTCTGGCTGTTGGGGTGTAAGTGTGATTCTTTTCAGAGGAGAAGAAAACTTACTGGAAAAATAATTTCACTGCCTAGTACAATGCCATATGCTTTAAGTGCTCGGTGATTATGTTAATTGTCATTTCAAAGGGAATTGCTTTGAAACTTTGTCACACTAATCCTCAGGAGAGCAGCGCTAGGAAACACATATTATTTAAACTCAGGAGATGGCTTTTAGTGTGAGGCCATTAGTGATTTTAAACAATTTATCCTGACGGAGATAAAGAATGTCAAATTAATCTTTCTTCACACATTCTGAAATAAAACTTAATCTCTCTCAGTGAATGTGATACTTTCAAAGTATGTTTGGATTAAATTAGTTAATATACTCAGACTAGTTCTTTGTGTGTGGTAAGCACGACATACCTGTTTGCTCTTAGGTTTATTCTTGTTACTATTAATATGTTTATGATAAATGTCCTTTCTCTTTTAAAAACAAATAATAACTGACATAATAGTCCTCTTTGTTAACTAAACTCTGTCTTCAAGGCAAATTGGAGTGGGACTCAGAATATGACCCAAATCGATAACCAGCTGTATTGCTCTAATCAGGACATTCTCTTTTCCATTAGTAGGGTGGAGTTTCCTTTTCTCTAACTAAGTGTTTGGACTTTCTTATCACCCTGTGTAGAAAGAGCCTGAATGGTCTTTTCCGAGTTGTGTTCACTGCAGACATAGAATAAAGAAAACAGAATTCAACTCCAATATACAGAGGTGTCTTGTTGTCCAACTTGACCCAAATAGACCCATCAGCGTGTTTTCGCCTGAGTGCTGGCTGCCGTCTGCCCTCCTGCTGGTGAAGGCACCAAGGGCGTCCTGGCAGCCCTCATGTTGGCCTTTCTTAACTCTCTTCTTCCTAGTCAACTCCTTCTTTTGCCCTCTGGACTTCACTTTTCTGATTTTATTGCCTTTTTCCAAAACCGAAAAGGAGAGCAGCTAGTATCACTGACACTGGACGGAGTGTTCACACCTGCCTGGGGTTCCTCTCAAGCAAACACGACTCCCGCTGCTTCCCTCCAC